CTATTAGATAGAACCCAGCCAGGAAAAAGAAACTATTCATGAAATAGCACCAAGGTAAGTCTAAAAGAGACTGAAGTAGACTTGTTTGTTTTGTGATGTGGCTGATGACCAGACTCTCTAACTTACAGACACTTTGGAGTGTTCTAAGGAAAAAAAAAAAATAGATCTGCTTTAATTTTTAAAAAAAAGAAAGAGAAGGAGGCTATTATTTCTTCTGTATATCTCTAACTCAAAGAGATGTAACTCAAAGAAATCAGGAACTTTTGCATTTTTTACTTCAAGACAAGTTGGCTGAGGACAATGACAGCCAGTTACCAAAATGAGCACAGCAGATGCAATAACCCTGATGGTTCAGCTGTAAAGTTCCAGTAATACAGGAAAGAAAAAAAGGAGTTCAAACATTAAAATGAACAGAAACTAGAAAGAAACAACAATGAGGAGTTGCTCAAAAGTATATGTGACACCTGGAATGTGTAAACCCAGAGGAAAGATCATGTGAAGATACAGTGAGAAGGCAGCCACCTTCATCCAAGGAGACAGGCTTCAGAAGAAACCAAACTTGCCAACACTTTAATCTTGGGCTTCTGCTCTCCACAACTATGAGAAAATAAACTTCCTTTGTTTGAGAAAAAAAAAATAGTAAATCTGAAAAACCAAGTAGAATCTAGAACCACCAAAAGGGGTTAAGCACTCATGAACGTGTACTACAAAAGAACAAAAGTGTTAGGCCGGCCCGTGGCTCACTCGGGAGAGTGCGGTGCTGATAACACCAAGGCCACGGGTTCGGATCCTATATAGGGATGGCCGGTTTGCTCACTGGCTGAGCGTGGTGCTGACAACACCAAGCCAAGGGTTGAGATCCCCTTACCGGTCATCTTTTAAAAAAAAAAAAGAACAAAAGTGGACTTGTCCATCTGTGCACGCTGGAGAAACACAATCTAATGAATCTGGAGAACACTAGTGGTTGGGACACAGGGCTCTAAAAATATCTGAGGTGCTCAGAGTGGGCAGAAGCACAGTCTTGAAGTTGGCTCCCTCCAAACTTGACAAGAGAGAGACAGAGTGAGTTGGTTAGCAACTGACTAACTGTTGCTGGTCAGTTAAGTTGCTTCCCTAACCTAACTCACCAGCAATCTGAGTCATGGAGGGGCCCAGATTTTGAGAAGAGGCCTTCAACAATAAGGCTGGAGCACAGTATTTCATGTGAAACAGCTGGGATCATAGGCCCATGGAGATTGTGAAATATCTGTGACAGTTTTCTTCTAGACCTCAACCATCTCTGCCTTACTGAATGAGGAATAACCTTCTTGGTACACCATAATGTATAACCTTTGCTATTTCTCCAAATGATGACCCTTGATGTGCAAATGAGTGTGCTAAAATTATTAAAGTATTAACACGAACCTAACAAGTAATAATAAGATGCAAAAGGAGGAAAGAGTACAGAACACTCTTAGCTATTCCAAGTGTGGTCTTCAGACAAAGCATTGGAGTCACTTGGGAACTGGTTAGAAGTGCACAATCTCAGGCCCCACCCCAGACTGTTGAATCAGAATCTGTAGTTTAATAAGATCTTCACGTGATTTGTATGCACCTTAAATTTGAAACAGTCCTCTAAATAACTTCCTACACAATGAGGCTTTCTTGATAAATTAAGCAGACAGGGAAGAATCATAAGAAGAAAGGGAAAGAAGCTAACAAATTCAAATGTATTTTAAGGCCAGACATTATAGGATATTTTATATGTGTTATCTTATTTAATTTCCAAAATAACCCTGAAATGTCAGAATTATATGCTATTTCATAAAGAAGGAAATCGAGGCTCAAAATGGTCAATAATCTAACCTAAGCTAAGATTTAAAGTCAGGCAGGCCTGGATCCAAAGTCTACCAGGCTACCTTGTTGTTCTGCTTCATGGAATTGAGGCTGATGGAGTTTGGATGTGTTGTCCCCTGAAAACTCATGTGGAAATTTGATCTCCAATGTGTCAGTGTTGGAAACTGATTGAGTCATGGGGGCGGATCCCTCATGAATGGATTAATGCTCTCCCTGGGGGAGGGGGGAGTAATGAGTGAGTTCTTGCTCTATTAGTTCCCACAAGAGTTCGTTGCTTAAAAAGACCCTGGCATGGGCCGGCCTGGTGGCGCACTGCTACAGTGCGCCGCTTGAGAGCGCGGCGGCGCTCCCGCCGAGGGTTCGGATCCCACATACAGACCGGTTCCCGCTCACTGGCTGAGCGAAGGACGGGAGCAACACCAACGGTTGCGATCCCGTTGCCGGTCCCGGTCCGGGTACGGGTGCGACACTCAGGGTTGTGATCCGTTGCCGGACACGAAAAAAGACAAAAAGGAAAAAAAAAAGACCCTGGCATGGCACCTCCTCTCTTGCTTCCTCTCTCTTGCGTCCTCTCACCATGTGATCTGTTTGTACCCGCCAGCTGCCTGCCACTTTCTGCCATGAGTAGAAGCAGCCTGAGGCCCATGCCAGACGCAGCTGTCCCAGAATCGTAAGCCAAATAAACTTCTTTTCCTTATAAAATACCCAGTCTCAGGTATTTCTGTTATAGCAA